GGGGTTGTTTTAGTAACAATGAGAAAGGTAATTGTTAAGTAATCTCAGCACAATGATGGCAACACGTTATGACCCCGGACAATTACCAAAGGAATACAACAGTTGAGATGAAACCAGACATGAAATCATCACGCATCACTATATGCACCTTTATAATTGGCCATATTCTAATAACATTAACATTCTAAACATTAACACTTACATATTCTGATGAGGATAACTTACATCAACCAGTCAACAGTGACCAGGAAAGAGATGCCTCGATCCGGGAGAGCAATAGATTGTAGGAGAAGCAACAGCATAGAAACCCCAACACCAGGAACAGCAGCAGTTCCTATACTGCTCAGAACAGCTGTTAAACTGGAAAATGTTTATAACGTGACGCAAAAGTCATTAATAATGAAACTTGTTTTTCTAAAGTAAATTGTTACATTAAAGCCCACCAACACGTCCGTCATTTCATACCAAAAAAAATTAACATCATATTACACCCCTTTAACATTTCAAGCCCGTTGAAAAGTATGGAGAAAATCGGAAGAGACTTGTAGTGAAACATATTTGCTTCATATCAAATGACACTGCAATTGTACAGATGGTTTCCAACTATATAAATTGTGTGGGAATAGTAGTAGTATATAATCCCTAATAAGCCTGAATAAAGTTATGTACAAATATGTCAATACATGTTAATGGTAGTGTATTCAGCTGGGTCATCAAACGTCCTGACACTTATTACACCCTACATCCATAAACCATTTTAGGGTTTAATGCTTTCCTTAAGCCCCCATGGAACAGCTTCTCTCCAAAAAGGCAGGGGGTATTCTAAAATAACGAAAGATTACAGAAATACCATTTTATTTATTTGTTTGTTGTTTAACGCCGCACCCAGCAATACTCAAGCTATATAACGGCGGTCTGTGTAAATATCGAGTCTGGACCGGGCAATCCAGTGATTGATATCATGGACATCGATCCACACAATTGGGATGGATGACATACATCAACCAATTCAGCAAGCCTGACCATCCGATCCTGCTAGTCGCCTCTTACGACAAGCATAGTCGCATTTTACAGCAAGCATGCTGAAGACCTATTGTAACCCGGATCTTCACGGGTCACAGAAATACCAATAGGTATAGAGTGAGGGTAATGCGTGGATATAAAAAGGGACAAGGTGTTACATGACAGTTAACAGAACATGTTGCGAAGTATTGTGAGGGTTCTAACAACCAATACAGACGACCAATGTGTATTTAAAAAAATACATAATTTATCAATAATGGTTCATGCCCCGAGATTGGTCCACATGCAATGTTTTAGGAGAGTGCGGTTAGGTTTTGGTTCCGGAACCGTTCTACCTCGGGCAGTTATGTTTCAAAGCTGATCTTTCATCAACCAATTTCCCAATTAGACGTTTCTGTCTCATATTCGCGTGTTTGTTTTGTCATGCTGGAGTTTCACTGCAGCGTGTAAGAACACGAATCTGGGTCAAACAATTCAGTGGTTGATATTACGTCAACCGTGTCACCAAGATTGACCACATGATCCAATTTATTGACCGCGCTCGTTGGTTTCACCAGACGTCTGAGACCTATATCACTTCGGGATTCCCTCTCAAGGTAAGCTAGCACACCGTTGAATGACTTTAATACTGTTGAAAGCGGAGTTAAATCCAAGTCACTCACTCAGCAGGGTCACCAACATACCTTATTATTATGACATCTCCAAATGACAGGTTGATTCCATTGTACTGTGCTATGAACACAGGGGCGATGGCAGAATACACCGCTGTGCCATCCATGTTGACTGTGGCGCCCACTGGGAGGATGAAACGGGAAATCCGTGTGTCCATCTTCATCCGCGTCTCGACGCACTGCATCGTCACCGGCAGCGTGGCAGCGCTGGAAATAGATCCGACTGTCATGTAAAGCAGGCGGAGCTCACCATTCTTGGTTGCAATGTGACAATGTGACGTGCGTTAGATTATGAACATCTGAGTCACCTGAGTCAACCGAGGTTACAATATTTCTGGCATTAACCACTGTTCATCAAGAATAACTTAGGGCTGCACGCGAAGTAAAAGACCTCAGATTATATACAAAATGGCCTCCAGGAGACGGAGAACCACATCAGCAAAGTGTACATGTATTGATTATAACACACACATATGAGAGGGTAACAAGCATAATATTGCGAGACCTATTTCTATTTAATGCATGGGAAATAAAGTTAAAATAAAGCGAAGAACATCAAACATAAGGAGTCACAATGAAAAACATTTCTTATGAATATCGAAAATTTCTTACGTCCATATGCTAAAAATTCAAATAGGGCCAAGTATTTTTTCCACAAGTGGGATATGTTTGTCTATATCCATCTCCTGTTAGAGATGTTCAGTAATTTAATAGGTGTGATTTCCCTTATGCGTGAGAATGAGTGTTGACTATTTCCATAAACTTGCGTTTGCTCTCCGTTGCCACTTGCATAGAGAGTAAACCAGTTTTATATTATGAATTCAATGTAAACCTTAAAAACAATAGCGAATCAATCGGGAGTCACCCGTGAAGATTCAGGTTAGAACTGTTCTTCAGCAACCCATTCTTATCGTAAAAGGCGACTAACGGGATTGGGTGGTCAGGCTCGCTGATTTGGTTGATGCATCGTATCAGAATTGCGTAGATCGATGCTCATGATGTCAATCATTGGACGTTGATACATTAATTTTTTCGCTAATTGAAAAATCGCATTTGAAACCCTATTTAGACATTGGCATTATCAATACTGTAGTACTATGATGTACGAATAGAAAATCAATATGGTCGTATGAGCGTAATATTACAATGAGTCCAAAACTCGTTACCAGTTTCAAGTTTTTCGGAAACGAATTAGACTGCCCATTACAAACCGTTACTGTTTACATTATTTTGGAATAATGTATACAGATTTCGTTCGAGGAAATTGATTGAAGAAGATATGGGTACAAATGTTTGTTATTTGTGTCAAATCGAAGGCATGAAAGTGAGCCTATTTGGCGATCTTTTTTAATTTATCTTCCTTTCACTAACCAGACCGGGCCTACCTTTAACTGACAGAGCATGCGTTAAGCGCGATACGAGCTGTACGTCTTACTCTCACTCCTGTAGACACTTATACAGCATAGGGTTCACCTCTATCGGTAACCTTCACGCTCGTGTATGAACAGTATATCTATTCGCTTAAACAATGATCTATCTATATATTGTCATGTCCTTATATATACTCTTCAAAAAAAGAAACTTGACACTGACTTTCAAAATGTAATATAATGCGATTATTTCAAAATAGGACACAGAAACCATAGTTGAAACATCGTTTGAAGATCAATGTACACAATGTTCAAAACATTAATCGTGTCACCAAGACAGACACACGTACACGATACAGTTAATGTCACAGGGGTACATAAAATGTCAGTATCGGTTGTGCCCACCACGTGCATCAATCACCGTTTGACACCGACGACCCATGGATGCAATCAAGTTGTCAATAACACGCTGTTGGATGTGCTGCCATTCATGCTGAAGTGCATCAAGAAGCTCCGGGAGTGTTTGGGGCGGTCGATTCCTTCTGCGAACGCGTCGATCCAACTCGTCCCACAGATGCTCAATCGGGGACAAATCTGGTGACCGGGCTGGCCAAGGTAATGTCTGGATGTTGATGTGGTGTAAGAAGTCCTGACAAACACGCGCAATATGCGGTCGAGCGTTGTCCTGCTGGAACTGTCCACCATGAGCGTTGACGTGAGGATGAACGTAAGGCTGTAGGATCAAGTCTCTGTAACGCACACCTGTCAATGCACCTGCCACATGCACGAGAGGCGTCCTACCACCGTGATGAATTCCGGCCAAAACCATGAAACTCCCGCCGCAAAATGGGACAACCTGCTGCACACAGTTGGGGGCGTAACGTTCATCCCGACGTCTGAAGACACCAGCGCGCCCATCAGCACGTGTGAGTAGGAAATGGGACTCGTCCGTAAACAGTACATTTCTCCACCTTGCACGTGCCCATCTAACCCTCTGTTGGCACCAAAGCAGACGGTCCGCCAGATGAAGTGGGGTCAATACATGACGTCGAACAGGTCTTCGTGCAAAAAGTCCAGCCTCTCTCAGTCTGTTGCGTACCGTTTGATCTGTTATTCTGCGTACCCAAGGGATCTGTGTGGTTGAAGACGTGGCGGTGGTAGTGCGGTCTCGGAGGTGTCGCTGCCGGATGTATCGATCTTGTGCTTGGGTTGTCACCCTAGGTCTTCCTGACCTTGGTCTGTCGTCAACTCTGTTGGTGTTGTTGTATCGGGTCCACAGTGCGGAGATTGTCTGTCTGGATACGCCAAAGTGCCTGGCCACTTCTTGCTGAGCTGCTCCAGCTTGTAATCTCCCAATGGCGTTGTTCCGTTGAGCTGCATTCAGTCTTGGCATTCTGTCACCGCCTCTACTGCCGTTATAAGGACTGTATGAACAGCCGTTGATGTGGGTTTTTATACCCATTCAGCAGAGGGGCCTGCATGCCTAAATGCAGGATCCTGTGCTGCACGTTTTTTACAGGCGGTTGCGTTTGGATGAAGCTGTAAAATTGATCCCCACGTACTGTACTACGTTTATGTGCTTTGCATGTGTTTTCGCGATTTATAGACACATCATCTTTCTGTTTGTCTTATTTGGTTCTCATTTAATGTAATTATTTTAGATATTTGGCAAAAAGTGGTTTTACATCAATGTCAGCTTTCTTTTTTTGAAGAGTATATATATGTTCCGTAATTTAGTGATACAACAGGGATTAGATTGTAATTAGTAAACCCCTTGATAGCCTTTCGAAGCGAGGCAGTTGGATCAACTGATTGGTCATTCCAATCGGTATGCCTTGCCCTTGATGTCACACTTTTAGAAATGAAGTATATTTTGCATTGTATACCTTCCCATATCTACGTTGTATTATCGCCGAACAGGCTATATGCGTTCTCTTCAGTACAGCGCCTGGGCCAATAATGTTCTCTACAAAGCACAATGTTATAATTTTATTTGATACCTTTGTATACTTGTGCATGTACACTACTACTAGATTACACATGCATGTTTTAGCCGTCATTATATGTAAGTATGATATATGTTATGTGCTTTGGTTGGTTTGTTGTTTAACGCCGCACTCTATATAACTATATAAATTGTGTGGGAATAGTAGTAGAATATAATTCCTAATATGCCTGAATAAAGTTATGTACACATGTGTCAATACATGTAATGTATTCAGCTGGGTCATCATTGGTTTCTTTGTTGTTTAACACCACACTCAGCAATATCATTATATATGAACAGTTAACGGGGAATTAGAATATGTTTTTATGTCATCCATGCCCCTACAACCATATCTGACTGGTATAAGTAACTCAATTACCAATTTTATGAAAAGTGAAAAGAGAGATAAATGGAACTGTGAAAATATATACCTGGAGCTTGTCGCAAAGGCTGTCAGCAGAGCTTGTATTACTTTGAGATATATGGCATATGGGTTCTTTCTTGTCAGGATGAAAAACAAGCCTGGAAGGACCACCAGTGAATGGATTGCCAATCCGGCCAACTCAGTTGCAATGTAGATAGCCAGTGTTTGTCCAGTCTCCGTCATGTCAGTTGTGGACAATATCTGGCCCATGACGAGAAACAGTATGCCAATTGGTGAATACCTGGAGAAATACAATGATGACAGAAACAGGCAATGGACAAGCAATCAAATTAAATGCGGAAAGTTATACATTGATAATCCGTATGTATGTTGTTTAACGCCGCACTTCACAATAGTCCAGCAATATTATGGCGGTCCTTTGTCTGGATGTGTGTGTGTGCTTCTGTGTGGGTGGGTGTTCTTTGTTTGTGCCTCTTTATGTGTGGATGTGTGTGTCATGAACGTCGTGAGTTTTTCCCCAAAGGTTGTGTGTACCCACCACATGACAAGTCTGATCATTTTGAAGGTGACGATGTTGACGGCTGTAAAGAATTGTGTCACCACTGCTCCACGACGACCTAGCTGGCTGAGAGTCACACCGAAAACAATGCAGTAGGTAAGTACACCTGTCAGGAGAAAGGTATTGGATGATAGCATATATACAGAGACACACGTGACAGGTGATTGTTCCTGATAGTTGCCTTGATCCGAAAAACTTCAGCAATTACATTTCAGCAATATTGTGAATCACTGATCACAGGACTATACATGACCTTCTTGTAATCGGAATGTATACATGTACCTTACAATTAATGCAGTAGGACTTGAAACCAGAACAAATATTTAGCTTAAAAAACAGCCGTCTTTCCAGTACCGGCAAGTTAATCTGGATGTCAGGTGTCTAAGAAACTGGTATCTTTGGCAGTGGAGCCTAAAACTAGACAACATGTATATTTTGTCTTCTGGTGTCATTTCCAACTGTTCAAGGCCGCTTCTTCCAACGTACTAGATAAGCAATTATTATGCATGTCTCGTCTAATGGTAACGTTTCTGAGATAAATATGTTTGTTTGTTGTTTAACGTCGCCCTCGGTCTGTAAACAATCGATCTGAACCATCTACACAAATTGGATACGATTCACCTTAACTGATTAATTATGACAAATGTTCGTAAATAATTTAGCTATTACAACGATATGCGGTAGATGAAAGTGTGTGCAGTAAAACGGTTTTCTTGTATTTTCGTACAACCTTGACATACAGTAAACTACGTTTATAACGAACACACTTATAACGAACTGACGGATATAACGAACTTACTTTTTTTTCCAGACTATTTGCTGTAGTTATGCTGTATATATGCTTATAACGAACTACGGTTATAACGAACTAAAATTAGTGGTCCCTTTGAGTTCGTTATAACCGTAGTTTACTGTAACAACCTTAATTAGTGAAATGACATGTATATATTTTATTAAACATCTCTGAGAAGTGTTTTCTTTTGAATGAAATATTCCTTTGGTTTCTGACCTTTTTTCACATAATGACATGAGGTGACCTCGGTTGTAAGTCGACATATCGTTTTTCAAATGGAGGCTATATTATCAAATTCCTGTTCAAAACACACGAGTTATTGTTTCGGCATGCTAATCATGTGCTAAGATCATGGGTGATCAAGATATATCCAATTACATTTCAAGGCTACTTTCAGTAGAGAAATACCATGCATAGAAACTAATTTGATAAGAATCGTGATGAGGTTTATTAGAGGTTATTTAAACCATGAATTTGAATATGCTAATCTGTCATGATGTGTTAGCAGAACTCGACATAATCTGATATACCTAAATGTCAAAATCACAACACGTTATTTCTAAATGTCTGGTCACGGAACCGTTTTTGCTCACTTGTAAAGGTTCTGTTTTGATCATAATCAAAAGAGAGATCTGGAATGAGAAACATTTTCATCTTTACGGCTGCTGAAATATCCCGTTTATACTTGTCGCCATAACAAGTTCATATATCAACGAAAGCAAGATGAAGTAAAGATAAGATATATGGATGAACAACTCCTTTATTAAAATTAGGAGCAATGTTAAAAAGCAAGGATGTACAAGGTATGGTAGACAAGCATATATGCAGGTGTGAGTCAGTGTTTATACGGTTGAGTAGAATGGGATGTAGTTACACTGGAGTGGAGAAGCGTGTCACATACACAAAAGGGGTGATGTAAGGTGAAGCCAGCAGCATAAACAAAGGGGTTATGACTGATTGGGGTCTTTGATGATTTGGTGGTACGCAGGGGGAAGGTAATAGACTTGGTCACGGTTGACTGATGGTTGGAGTCTTTTGATGTTGATGGCTTCGTGGAGTTTTCTGATTTTGAAGTCTTTGAGGTTGTTGAGGTCTCTACTAGCTGTTCGGGGTAGTGGTTTTACAGTGTGAAAACATGTTTGAAATGGTTTGGTACCATACCTCATATGAGGTCTAGCCTCTCACATGTATATATGCTTGTCAATCATACACTGTACATCACTTGCTTGATAACTGTGTTAGGAGCTACACCGCTCCTGATTGTCAAACAGACGTTATTCATGCATATATCGTATCCTTACTAAGTACTCCAACTTCTTAAAGCCTCTTAAATAAGAAAGCAAGATTATTATTAAGAAACCTCGTGTAAATTTGAATGTCATCTATTAAAACCGGCCAGGCAACAATTCTTGAACCTGTAAAAATTTAGAACTTCGTGTCATCGACTACCAATTGAGGAAAGACGATGGAGTAAAATACCTACCGTGTCTGTACATTATGTAATTGTAATGACCTAGATGATGAATACCATCATATGTTTCTATACTAACGACATTATGAATTCCTTCATACCTGCATATTTCAGAAAAAAATTATGTTAGCAACATTATCTTTTTAATACAATCCAATACAATATGAAACTTGTTTCATTGGAATAATTAGAACAAATGTGAAATAATCGCCTTCAAAAACAAATATGCTACTCTGCAAACCTCAACATACTATGTACTAGTGTTGGCTGACATGATAATATTCGGTGTTTTTATCATTTGTGATCGACTCAAGTGGAAACGTTAAACGTATAGACACGATTCAAACTGGTGAATATTCATTACTTTTACTTCATTCAAAACCTTCTAGCTAATATTATCAAGTTTGTCCGGTCAAAAAGTGCAAGCTCGTTTGTTTATGTCTACTAGGAACTCAGCCTTGTAATACCAATACACTAAGTGAGTTTGCTGTATAGAAATTCAGAAGCGGGAACGTTTCACAAACTCATTTCAAAGGGGCCAACGGAACTATTTCGAAACGTCGGCAACAACTTCCAAGAATACCTATGATATTTGCCCCATCAACCATCACTGTTTTCTTTGCCGTAACAGATTGGTTGACCTTCCTGGAATCACCACCAGTTTCCTGCAGGTTACCAGAACTAGAGTTGCCATCGTCCTGTAACTTTATTCCATGAACAACCATCTCAGTGCGTGAGTGTTGGATAGTAGCAGCAACTATGTTGTCAGGAAGTATGTTTCTGAAGAACAGATGAAAAGAGACAAATTTACATTTCCTGAATGAATGGAATTTTACAACATTGCTGGATATATCCAGCCAAAATCTCATGTCAAGAACTATCATTTCATTACATAACATGACTTAGATGTATACGACTAATACATAGGGAATTATTTTCATCCAATAAGAATGTTTCTTTTCACGTGAGACAGATTCAAACTCTGCATCGCAATATGTAGCGATACTAAACATGTCCATGGTAGCTGTTATCATTATGCGAGGAAACAAATTATCTGTACCAGATTCATGACGAAATACAACCCCGTATCCCAATTGCGTGGATCGATGCTCATGACGCCAATCACTGGAATGTCTGGTCCAGACTCGATTATTTACATACCGCCGTCATATAGCTGGAATATTGCTGAGTGCGGCGGTAAACAACAAACAAACGAAATACAACCCGAGACAATTCGATGGAGGAATAGGTCTTCAGCAACCAATTCTTGCCGTAAAAGGCGACTAAGCTTGTCTGAAGAGGCGACTAACGGGATCGGGTGGTCACCCTCGCTAACTTGGTTGATGCATGTCATCGTATCCCGATTGCGTGGATCGATGCTCATGATGTCAATCACTGTATTGTCTGGTGTGCGGGGTTGAACAACAAACAAACATTACGAAATTCAATTTGAATCAGTTGTCTCCAATATGTATATAACTGACATGTTGTTTATGCTTTTGATGAAAGGGGATTTAGCAATTGCAGTCATGTCATTCATTTGCCAATAATGATTTTCATCATTTCTAATGTTAACATTTAATAATTTAATGTATTTAATAAGTATTAACACGTATGAATACATATATTTCCACTGCTTAGATTAATTAAATAAATGCATCTTCCTTTGGAGCTGCTCTACCTTAACGTCCTGTGACGTTCCTGTTTCGAATTGGTCTTCAGCAACCAATGCTTGTCGTAAGATGCTCGCTGACTTAGCTGATGCACGTCATCATATCCCAAATGCGGAGATTAAACAAACAAAATGTTACCTCAATAAGTCCATGAAGATGTCCATTGTTGATGCCATAGCGTTATTGTGTAATACATCGGTTGTCGACGAGTCAGAGTAAGCTCCAGGTTTGATGGTCAGGACTAATGTCAAGCCAACCAGTGTTGCAGCAACAGAGGTACTTGTATAACAAACCATAGACAGTACACCTATCCTTCCGGCAGATGATCCTTTCATATTACCCAGACCTTCGAAAGAGATTTATATTGTTTGGTTCTTACCAGTGCAAAGCAAATCATGTAGTAGTCTTTAAAGACTTCATAACTGTGACATACGTCACTGAACATTAGGTTATATATATCTACGTGTAATTGTCCTTTTTCAGAACAAGATGAATGATATACTTTTCCAACGTGTCGTCGTGTACTCCAGTGCTGTACATGTAGCATGTAGCGAGGAGAAAACTATACATATAAAACATAAAGGAAAACATCCTTAGCGGTTCATATAGCTGCATCGGTATCTGCTGGGGTTACGGGTGGCCCAGTCGTCTACGGCGTCACGATTCGCTTTGCAGAGTTGCGTCCCTTGGGCACGCCAGAAACCTATGATTGTGGGTTCGAATGCCGGTTCGCCCCGATTATGGTTCTAGGTTTGTCAGCACCATACCCGTGCTCGTGGATTTCACCGAAATGGTAAACGTATGAGACCTGCATCACTTCGGGCTTTCCTCCCACATTAAGCTGACACGCCGTGATATGACTTGAATACTGTTAAAAGCGGCGTTAAACCAAACTCACTCACTCACTCACACTAGTTATCTGCTCCTACTCATAATTACACTGAAAAGATATAAAGACGTAACGAGAATTAACAATTTGTAAGATAATTGGAAATGTAAAAAGTGACAGTTTTGATGTCATTAATTTGTAAATAACACAGGAATACGTTGACAATGATAAGTGGTGTCTGATTTACGATGCAACTTCAATTCATAAATATGTGTAACAAGAAGGTTTTAGCGTTACCTGTAATGATACTGGCTACTGTTAGAGGCAGCATCAACATCTTCAGCATACGAAGGAAAAGATCTCCAGGAAACTGCACCAGCTGAATAGTGTCAGAGGACGGCTTGAGCGTCCGGCACACCATCCCAGCAACAATTCCCAGGACAACAGCGAGAAGTGTAGAGATGAGGAGGAAATTGTGCCGGAGGAACTGAAGGACCGTCATCTGCCATCAGACTTGAAATTATATCTATGTACTATGATAAATAAACGCTAAGTATACGTATGATTAATGGATGCACATGGTGGACAGTGGAAATATTTATGTCAGTAATTATAATGTGAACAGAATAGCATCATGAAGAGGAAAGATTTCTGCAACCATAACATCACCAATGTCACATTCTATGGGGAACCAGGTTCGAGAAGGTACATGATACTGTCGGCACTATTCTTTCCGAAGATGACAATACCCCGAGACTTCTGCTGCTTATTCGGCCGGACAGACGGATATTTCAGCTATTCCGTTTGGACGAGATGTCATTATAAACTTCAATTTTAAGTAACATTTTACAGGAATTTCTAAACATAGAAAAAATGTGAAACGTTACTGTCATTTGATTGGTTGCATTTATGGCATCGCGTAGGTTGCATTTTCGGTATTTAGAAGGTGGCGATCATTCTGAGGGATTGACGCTGCGTTCCTGTATTAAAACAATTTGGGTTGTCCATCATTTTGATGAACCTGCCAGAACAGTGCGACGTCACCTAAGGTTTACTTTTAACATTTTAATAAATATGATCATTCATACAATATCATCAATAACAACATAAGGTAGTGAAAGTAATTATGAGAATCAATATGAATTCGTCATCGCTGGATCGAGAATTGTTTAAGAACTCTCACCCAGTCTCAAATCTACCCTTCTCCTTCAAGTCGATTGAACGAGTAGCAACAGTGGCGGCTGCATCGCGTAGGTGTACTGCAATCGGCACAGAAATAGCTTTGCCCGTGTGCTAAATGACCTACTGCTTACTGTTGATTCCAAGGGAGCGGCAATTGTTGAGCTATCGGATCTTTGAGCAGCATTTGACACACACGGCCACACTTCTCTTTTCAAGACGCTGCAGTCAGAGGCGATTTTCTATATCACTGCAAACACGAAAACGTCGTTTTTTTCCTTATATGGTCATTGGACGGAAAAACGACTAAAACTTTATTAAAATTGATTAATTGGTGAGCGTCTAGAAAGTGTCCGGAAAAGGGTCGAGTTTTTCAAGCGTAAAATGGACGGAAAAAACGATGCTTTTTGCTCCGCCTTGTACAACTGTTAACGGCCAATCAGATGGCGCTGGTCCCCCGACGCACGTGATGCCCAAGGCTTCCTTTCGGAAGCACTAGGTTTCGTATTACTGGCATGCCTTGCTCTAGTATCTGTCGCGCGCAGTGCAGCAAGATTTGCTGATAAACCAGTTTTAGGATATGTAACATGTTTATGGAATTCAGACACGCGCCAAGAAGTCAAACCAAACCATGTTACCAAATGTATTATGATAACATATCCCTCCGCTATGCACGGTTACCTCTATTGGAGAATGGGTTGTGTTTCATTTGGTTATAACACGATATACGGATTTTCCATTGGACGAGAGGTCGGTCACATGACGTTTTTCACGTGACTGTATTCTTGAAATGACGTAAACACTGACTACTTCCACATTCCCAGGGAAAACCCTGGGAATTCCCTAGTACGAATCCATACAGAAGCGTTGTTTCTCATCATTTAGACCCTTTCATTTTGAACTTAGCGTCTTAGCTTACTCTGTGATAAGTCAGAGAGTTTGGTTGCATGCCCGTTCAAGGACATCCTCGCTACAACCCATCCCAGAAAATAAAAACGAAAAAAAAATCCAAACTAATGTAGTGACAATCTACAGCAATCTATGAATTTACCTAAGTATCTATTTGACACATCTTTACAATCACCTTTCAATGATCGGCCAATTGATCAGTGATGACAAAGGCTTGAAATAGCCACAGGTTAATTAACAACTTCGAAAATATCTCCCGTCACGTTTATCGTGTCGGCCATTTTGACGTCTTGTACTTGATGTAAATGTATTCGACGCTCTGTCATTGTGATTGACTTACTGAGGTACGAGGGGTGTTAGTTAAAGATTTCTCCTAAACCACTTAGGGTTATCATATTTGGTTGAAATTTCACATGTGTAATGATACATGTATCTATGGGTTATGTCTGAATTTGCAGCACCGAACTATCAATCTTACCACTTTTACAGGTGTTATGATCGAGTAGGGTGTGAAAATGGAGCCAGTAGAATACCGAGCAGTAATTAGGTTTTTATATTTGAAAGGTCGCACACCAAAAGAAACTTTCGATGAAATGAAAGCAACTTATAGGGAAGATGCCCCATCATATGACGTTGTTAAACACTGGCATCGCCAGTTCAAGTGTGGTCGGACATCTGTGGAAACAGCTGCCATTCCTGGTCGCCCCCATTCAGCCATTGATGAGGACAGTATTCATCAAGTGGAGGCCGCAATTTTGGCAGACCGACGTATAATTGTTCGCCAGTTAGCACAAGATGTCAAGATCAGTGTAGGGTCTGTGGAAAAAATCAACCATGACAATTTGAACATGCATAAGGTGTCTGCACGATTGATTCCCAGGTTGCTCACACCTTTCCAAAAGCAGGAACGAGTCAATTGCTGAAAGGATATTTTGGACATGTGCCAAAAAACCAGGCAAACTTATTTGACAGACTTATCACACAGGATGAAACATGGGTCTATCACTATGATCCTGAGACTAAAGTTCAGTCGATGCAATTGAAGCAAAGGGATTTCTTTTCAAAGGGTACCACAATTACAGGAGCTTATTATGCTTCACTGCTGCGGAAATTGCGGCACAATATCAAGCTTAAGAGGCGTTGCATGCTGACCAAGGGTGTCCGTCTCCTGCAAGACAATGCTCCAGTACACAACTCTAATGTTGCCCAGACAGAAGCGCGGTCCTGTGGCTATGAAATCCTTCCACATCCTCCTTACTCTCATGACCTTGCACCATCAGACTTCCACCTCTTTCCATCCATGAAGTCATTTTTGAAGGGAAAACGTTTCACAGATGATGAAACACTGATTTCTGAAGTCAAATCCTGGTTTGAGACGCAAAGTGAGGGCTTTTACAAGCGAGGTCTCCATAGTTGCATAAAACGATGTCAGAAGTGTGTTACTCTTGGTGGTTCCTATGTGGAGAAAGACTAATACCCATGCCAAGTTTCATTCCACTAGGTCCATCGGAAATGGGTCAGGGGAAATCTTTAATGAACACCCCTCGTAATTCTTTTACATACCTTCTCATCTAATGAGGATATTGTTTGAAATACATTTCTTGTAAACAAACAAAAACAGATGAACTATTTTATTCCGGGATGGCCTATAAAAGCTAGTCGTAAGTCAAGGCACCATGCGTGTATATGATCTGATATTATATGTGTTTACATTACGGTTTGGGGCGTTAATAAAATACACTGACGCAAGTATATTCTAATCAAATCAACTGGATAATTGAATATGCTTTCTTTTGCATATTTCATAACATCACTACACAAAATTTAGACAGTTGCAGTTACACACTACGGTGATCGCATTAAACACCACTTTGAACAGTATTTCAGTTATATCACGGTGTATCAGACTGATGTGCGATAAAAATCCGTAGTGGTTCAGGCCATCCAACGGGTGTTCGCGAAAAGGTGAGCGCATCATGCCACACAAGTGGCACCCGTCACAAACACATGCAAGGACAAGTCCATTGTTCACCTGAACAAAGCACGGAAACACACAATAATGCCCGTCAGCACTATAACCGAGCATGTAAATTATATTGTCCGTCAAAAACATGGACGAGTATAAACAATATGTTCCTACTGGTAATACATGTCATACATTTGACAAAATGTATTGACTCAGAGCATTAGTGTTATTCATAGCGTATAGACTCGGCATGCAGTTGAACTCATCACCTATCCCATTATTAATAATCCTTCTTGAAGATCTCTGAAATCAGAAGCTGCAATAGCGCATTTTTACACAATATCTCTTAATTGGCATGTTAGACTTCTGTTTCATAACTCAGTTTTAGTTGCACGGATCACTATGAAAGGGACATTCTCGCGTTGTGGTATTGTCGCATTGACGCCCTTACAAAATCAAGCAAAACGAGTCAAAATTAACCAAAGCGCTACAATTCGACAACGCGACATTTTGGCCATGTGTCGCATTGTCGCGTGGTCGCATTGATGCTCTTTGAATAATCTGTAAAAAAAATCTTTATTTTACAAAAGGGCGATGATGCCGTAACGCGACATTTTCAAGGTCACAAATGTGAATAAAAGGCGTAAAGTTCAGTTAATGTTACAGTTAGGAAGCGGTAACCAAGTTATATCTGTCGTAGAAGTTCAACCTGATGCATGTACGTCTTGAAATGAAAACACAAGTCCGTCCGCGAGTCCATAACGTTTGATTGTGAGTTCTTCTCTTTCAGTGCTTAGTGTTCAACTCCCCGTTCCAAACACGTAGTACCTCATCAACAATCCACATACCTCTAGTGCAGTGGTCTTCCGGAAGATCTAACTCTTTACCGTATCAGACAACTGACGAGTGCAACCCCCATGAGGTTTGCCGAAGGGAGAGGGGTAGGAAATGTGGGCTCCAGCGCAGCCAAGAGCTCGCGACACACTGTATACTGCATGTAGTATTCATTATGCAGTCATTTAAAATAGAACCGTATACATATGTAGTACCCACTCACTTACTCTGTTTCGAATATTCATCAGTAGAAAATATATTATTAACCAGCTGTGTAGGAGAGATATCAGATTTTATCAGAGCTGGCCATGTTAGATGATATAACCAAAATCCAGGAGCTCCGGCGGGGGACAAACTTGTGTTGTTATTGTGTGAGCTGTGACGTAGACCCAAGAGAATAATGTAAAACATGAGACCAACTCAAGTCTACAATGATTGGGAAAGTCTAGATTTCCAGTGCTCTAGTCTGAAATTAAGAATTGTTGTGTGCTCCTTTTTAATTTTATTATTTTTATTTTGTAGACATGGATAGACCAACCAGGAAAGAAATTGATGGAATGTTAATATCACATGTTACCACTGATCCAGTTAAATTCATCACACAATAATATATT